TACGGCTTTAAAATGTAAAAAGGTATCATGCTCAGAGCATCGCTTTTTTTCTGCAGCACAAAGATTTGAATAGCTATTTTCCACAGAAATCCAAGTAAACTACATGATTGTGCTCTCATCTTAGGTGTTCTTTGCATTAGGAAAACAACTTCTCTTATCTTTTTATATGCAGTGTTAAGAACAGGTATTAGCATATTAGCACAAGTGCTGTCGTTGACTCCTTATCTTGGTTTCTGTGCAGAATCTGCATAATGGTTAAAACTGTCGTCAGTAAAGCTGCACCAACAGTTTAACATGTAAATTCTAAACAAATTCACACTTTACCATCCTGCACAGAACTGCGGTGACACACTTTCTATTCCGAGTTAACACTTTGACTGACAAATAAGTATGTCATTGCAGCTGTTTTCATGGCCTTATAAGCACTATCTCATGCTGCTGGTAATTACTGTTAAAGTCTCACTGACATCAATGTGAGATATTTCACAGTGATGTGGGACAGAAGGGTAAACACTGTGTGTATGAGGGCAGTGGCATTGACTTTACCCATCATGCTTTGCGGGGTAGTTTGTCAGTGTGAGAGGTATGTGACCTCACAGTCCATACACTATGGCACTAAGTGAACGAGTCATATGAGCTGGCTGTCTGATTTATGAAGCCAGACCTTGAACAACTCGAGATGTCTTTGTGTGTGAGCGAGATGGCTGTGAATGAACAATATTTCATTTTTAAAGGTGTAACACCTGACAGATTAGTTAAGAGTGTGGACTAAATCTCCTGAAGAGCTTTTTTTAGGACCACGAATAAACCCAGTTACTGTGGACTAACACGATTGTACTCTTTAAAAACAATTTAGTATACTGGAGAGTAACTGTGTTGGAAATATTTTGGAGCAATATCCTTTTCTACCAAGAAAAAATGGTGAATGACTGCAGATTGTTGAGAAAATGTCAGCACAAGATAATTATTTTCTGCAATTGTTTTGTCTAATTTCAGCTCGCAATTTAAATACAATTCTGGAGGTCATAACAAACTTTTTAACTTAATTAAGAATTCTTTTAAATGAGGAAAGAAGAAGAAAGCCTACGGATATGAAGAAGTTCTTCATGCTTTTTTGTAACTTTGGTCTGAATATAGAGAAGAGAAGAAGAAATGTGGGTAAGAGAGAGAAAAGATGACACACACCAAATGGTCTTTAGTAGGGATGGGGATCACCAGAGGCCCCACGATATGATGATCACGATACTTCAGATTATGTCCACAAAAATGAAACTAAATCAGTTTTGTCAAATAAGAAAACATTCTCAGTCTATTCATCTCACTTCAGTATTTTTTATTTCTACACAACGAGAGTCAAGCCCACAGACTGACCAACACTGTGATCAAAGTAAAACCCTGTAAAAGACTACATGCACCTCACAAACTGAACTGTGAGTGTTTCAGTCTAATGGAACTTAACTGAACACAAACATGTACAGTATGGACGCCTGAACGACTGCAGTAATTGTTAACAATGCAACTTGTTCAAAATGAATTGTGCAACCCCTTTCAGCAATTACAAATTAAAAAATCATATTTGCTATTAATATAAAAAAAACGTTGATACTTGGTGGCCATGAATCAATATATGTCACCACGCAAAATATCACGATATTCTATGCTGTATGGATCCTCCCCTCCTCCCCCCACCCACCTCTAGTCTTGCTATACGAGACTATGCCTTTCTATACAGGGTCCCTGCTACATGTAAATCAATGCCCCAAATCTAATTAAACACTAAAATAATTTATTGTAAATTAATTCAGGCTTTAGATTGTTTAATGACGGATGTTTTTTTATACAATCAGTCATTTCATGTTCACTCTACTTGAAAATCATTCCTAAAGGTTTTTTTTATTTAAGCATCAATGATCACCTTTCCTGTTATCTTATTTAAAGGGTGTTGCATGATGATTCAATTAAAAACAACAATGAATATTGCCAACTAATATAGTCATGCCACTGAGTGCAGATAATATCTGGCATTTTTATTCTTGTTCACACTGCAGTTATTGGTTTTGACTTTAAAGCAGGTTAAAAATGTGGTCAAATGTTCACCTATATAACAACTTTTTTTAAAAAGCATAATAAAGGACCTTATCTGGGTCATGAACTGCATAGTTCTACTTCATTCAATCAATCAGTCATTCTTAAATTGTCCTGGCAAATATTTCTCCTAATACATTTAAGCCTTTTTTTCTTTTCGAGTACCCTGGGAACTGACTTCACAAAATATCTTCATAAGTGATTGTGTTACAGACAATGACAGATCACACCATTTTGCCTCAGGCTCAGGAAATAGTCCCTTGATCAGACAGAGGCATTGTGTCGACCGAAAGTAAATGCACAAGAAGTTTCAGTATAAATGCAAGTGTTTACTTCAGAAATGGAGCAGCTGGCCATCAATCTGCATGTGTGTGTGTGTGTCCACTCTCGTAAAGCTTTAATAAATCACTGGGGCACTGTGGGAGCTCTGGGAGGGATTTCTAGTATGCCTTACAAAGCAAGTCTACGTGCAGACGGGTGCATGGGGCTGACGAGGGGTGGAGCGAAGGACGAGGGAACGGTCGTACACAAAAAGAGCAGAACAGAAAAGGCTTGGGCAGAACTGGGTAAGGGCATTGAATGCTGAAACGTGACTGTAGTAAAGAGGATTTAGACCAGCAGACAGAGAGAAAACAACTGGGCAGTGAGCTCGGTGATGATGCAATTACTGAGCTGAGAGCACAGAAGGAATGTGAAGCAGGGGAAGAGATTGATTACCATGATGGGCAATAAAAAAGAGGCAAGAAATGTTTCTGTTCCCTCACTTTTCTGGATGTAAAACGAATAATAAAAAGGACACGATTGACACTTACGCACTTTTGAGTGTCAAATAATGGAAATGTAAACACAACTTAACCCTGTAAGTGGAGATTTCCAATAGCATTTGTTATTTCCTATACCAGTTCTAATAAGTATCCCTCTGATACTAGTGCAGTTAAAAAATACACATTACATCAGTAAGAAACTCATTTTTGGAAAAAAAAATGTGAAAGCTTTGACTGATATTACAGTCTCTGCTAGCATAACACAGTTTTCATTGTCACATAATTTCTCTTGGTTAGAGTTTGGGATCAGTGCATTGACTGTCGTACTCGATGATGCCCAATGTTTCATTTTAGGCAGTATCAGATGCCGATACGGGTACTGGCATCAGAACAGATTTTCTTAAAAGATTTCAAAATAATGAATACAAAAGTAACGGAAAACTCAAAAGCCACTATTTTGGAGTTTATTATATATAAGTGCAGTACCTTTATATATTTTGCTTACTCAAACTCTACTTCAAAAGAAAACAAGGTGGCTGAGGCATGAAGTTAAGAGGGCTCATTTTTGCAAATGGAGGTCCAAAGTTTTGGGCCTCAGCTGCAGCAGTTTTTATTGGCTGCCCTCCCAGTCTCTGACATCCATCTTCTGGAGCAGAAATGCTCAAAAGAGGATCTGCTGGTGTTACAGGGAATGACTGGGCAGGATGTGAAATTTCCCAGAAAAGTGGGAGAGAGCACACATTCTGTGTCACTGAGTCAGTGCACTCAGAGGGGAAGTCGGCCTTCGTCATAGCCGACCTCTGCGAGCAGACCTGCTCTAAATGCCTCTCTGCTTGAATCATAGCAGCAAACAGAAGCAGGCGGCAGTGTCGTCCCCCCCACCCCCACCCTCCCCCCAGCAGCCAGCCAAGCGGGCCAAAAGTGACGTGGGTCAGCCGGGGACGCATCAATGAGTCCTCAAGGAAATAAAACTAATGAGACTAAAGAAGAAGAACAATTGGTGGAGACTGAATCATGCAGAGGAATTTCCTCATAATGTGGGGAAAAAAGGGCCAATTCAATCCATGTCTCGCTCGGCTCTGACATCCCTCGTGTGAAATAAAACCTGACGTGTAACTCTATTACTGTTATGTGTCCTCACTATACTGTCAGATGAGCATATGGGGACATCTGTGACTTACACCCACATGGTGAGAAAAAGTCAGTGACAAGTTTGAAGTCACAAGATGGCTGATGAAAACAGCATTTTGACATAAAAACAATCAGATCTGACTATCAACCAACTCGGAGATTCTTTCAGAGACGTCACGGTTCAAGTTCTGAACGTTTTCTTCACTTAGTGACATATCGTTTTGCTCCAAGAAAAAACACTGCCCAAGACAACTTCTTCTGATGTCTTACTTTGTCCATTAGACTTGTCTTTGAGAGCAATACTGATTATGTGTCATCATGATTTAATGTACCAATATTCTAGATCAACTTAGTGGCTACAGTTTCATACATAGACTCAACCCTTAATCTTGCAGTAGTTGGACTACTGAAGCACGGACTGTGATGTTGGCTTGATGGGATATCAATGTAATAGGCTATTCCTGTAAAATAAAACCCTTTAAGGGGCTTCATGTGTGGTGAAATAGTGATACCTTGTAGCTAGCTACTCTAAGTTTGGTTCTTGTTGTTATGTAGGCTTGTAAGGATTAAAGGGGCCCAAAATAGAAAAGGGGGCCCAAAGCAATATTTGCGTAGAACTCTTCATCTCTATTCTCCCCCTGCTAATGATAAGTAGCCTATAGGTGAGATACATTCAGCCAGTTCTGACTCACATGGTTGTCAAAAATGGCACCTGGCTGGGTCAGTGGCAAAACTTGTCAAAAATGACTCTGTAAGGACCCTTATTACGTCATTTTGACGCTGTAGGCTTACTTGCACGCAGTTGCTTAATGTGGTACCCAGGTCGTCCCATTTTGAAGCTTATCGGTGAAGAACTCTCTCTCTAGCATTATTGATGCTATAAGGGAAATGTATTTTACAACATCAAATATATATTAGGCACATTATACATTGCCAGTTTTTTTTTTTGTTGTTGTTTGGGGGGGGGGGAGTTAAATATCAAATCAAGTTTCCCATACAGTTAGGCCTTTAGGTACTCACTTTCTCCTGTACTCGTCCCTCTCCCGCTTGACTTTGGCCAACACGTTATACAGAGCCCTCAATTCAGGGGTTATGGTATCTATCTGGACCCCAACTCCGTCCGGATGCGTCCACGTCACCCCGGGCCCGTGTAGGGTCTCAAAGCGCTCCCCTTGCCTCCGGACGCTGGTGAAACTCCAGATGGTACCCGGCATTCTGGACTCCGGGCCGTCTGTCTGTACCGCAACTTCCCGGGTGTAAAAGTGGCGTTGTTGCGGTCTCTGCAGGGCTTTCTGTAGCTGGCTCTCCAGCAGTTTGTTCCTCCTCTCCAGCTCATGCACTTTGGCGAGGAAGCAGCGGAAGCGCAGGTTGAGGGTCTTCAGCACATGGATGTTGGAGCCCAGGTCATTTCGCAGGGCGCTGGTTACCGCGCCCGAACTGGACGGGACGCCACAGACCGGCTGGGTGTCGGAGAAGTAAATGGAGTTCATGACGCCAGACAACAACAACAACACCGAGTTATCCAACTATGGCTCTACCTGGTTTGAAAGCAACAACACAAACTCGTCCTCCTATCTCTGCATTTTTCTCCACAATCCCACTACCCACAGGACCAGTTTCCCCCCTCCCTTACAATGCAGATGCTGAGAGTGACTGAGACTGGCTAACCATCACTGTCCCTGCTGGATGTTTTCCCCGAGATGCTGACATGAACCCTGCATCATGTAAGCGAACAAAAAAAAAATCCAAGGAAAGTCCTTATAGAGGCACCGAGGGCATTATCTGGTGGAAGAGGTTTGACGCAGACCGCAATAAGCACCAGCAGTCACCCTTCCCGTCACCCTCATGTCTGGTTTTGTCTCTGCTTTGTCAGGAGCTGCTGATGCTGTGCGGGATCATACAAGCCAGAGGAAGACGGTCCACCTCCTCTCTTTGTCATTCCCCTCGTTAGTTTTGCTCTATCCGGTCTCCTCCATGTGTAGCGGTGGGCTGGCAGGACGCAGGACCGCAGAGCCCGGCCTCTCCGTGGTGTGCGCGGATCATGTTGCAAAGTGCTAAACTCGGCACTATCGCCCACATCGGCCCCTCCCACCACGTCCCTCCCCTTTCCCTGACAGCGACTAGACGGAGCTCATCCTGGCTAAAAGGATTACCAAAAAAAAGAAAAGAAAAACTAATTTAGAAAATAAAGCATAGTGTAAAACAATGGAATTCCATTTAATTGTATTTCAACTCAGTGGTTTAAACTGATTTATGCCCGCTGTTTACAAACTTCACCTCAAATGATTCACAACATGGCAGCCTATAGCTCTATGTAGTCATATGTGTACTATAATTCAGAATTAGACCATGTCAGGATGAAGTGAAACTAATGTGTTTTTTATTTAAGTAGTCTCTGAAAGCTAGGCTACTGTTTTTCCTTTCTTTCCTTTTTTATATTTTAACCTATGTGACCCTTTAGAACTACATCTTTATTGCTTTGTTACTCACTTTTAAGGTCACCTAATGATATAAAGTTCATTTTAACTTAATATATATTATACTAACATGAATAAGTATTCATACTTTTTTCTCAAAATACCCATTGGAGTCAACAATATATTTATTCTATACCTGTCACCTGCAAATTATTTGTATATTGTATACTATAGTGTATTATTTAATTGTATTTCTTATTTGAATATTTGGTTTTAGTATTTGTATATTTGTATATTTCTGATATTAAGCATCTACAGGCTTGCTCCAACAATATTTCGTTGTACTTGTACAGTGACAATAAACATGTCTTACCTTATCTTATCTTATCTTTGTATCTACACGTCATCTAATGTATATTGACGGCATACATAGGCTAATATTTACTCAGAAATGTGGAGGTGTTATTAATAAGCTAGTGTCGGTAACAAACATTAACAAGCACAAGAGGAAATATGTTGTTTAATTCTTCATACACTTCATACATCTTATTTAATTCATAGGCTATTTTTTTCCTACATGTTCTTTACCTTACACACTTATTTGTACTTATAAGCTACTGTACAAAACTTTCTATGTTAACATAATGGTATAGCCTGGTTCTACCTTTTCAAGTTTTTTAAAGAAAATGTTTTTAATCAGAAAATAGCGCCAGTTATTCCTGATGTAACCTATTGGGATCTCCCTGAAAGTACAGTCAATTATGCCCCCCATCACTATAGCAGGACAAGAAGGGAAATCTTACCATGAATCAAACTATTCTTTATCCCAGATTTGCCCAGTTAAATCTGCAACATCTTTTAATGTCCGCTGAAAACGTGTGAGAAGATCCAAAATGGGACTTACAGACACCTGTGTCTCGTATGTTGTAAATATGAATTATGTAGGCCTCACGCTTCTTGCACGTTGTCACTTTAGGTTCAGATGCCCCTAGCGGTCAGTAAGTTCAAATCCCCATTACTTCAGAGAGATAGTTTTGGGTCCTGCAATGCATAGCCTACATTTAAAAAATATATTTTTACTGTTCAGCAAGACTATTTAAAATGTTGCATTTAATGACATTGTTTTTTTCTTCTCATAAATATCAATACAAATGTAACCATAGGCGTAAAAATGTCCAATAATAGCACTCTGGTATTTTTATGCTTTATTATGCACACTAAAAAACCTTTAAAGCTGATCCCAGTTTTGAGATAAATGTTTGTGCGACATGCAGCCAAAGCTAGCATTGCTCTAATATTACATATGCTCAAGTCTAAACCATGGCTGTAAATCCTATTAAGGTAAACAACTGGCTAAAATTAAACAAGTTCAATGCTCTAAACCTAACGTATTTAGATATGTAAAAGAAAAATTAAAGCCAGTTTGTTGAATAAATATGTGGAAATATGTCAGTGAGATACTGTTTTTTTGTTTTTTTTCTCGTGATGCTGTAATAAAAATGTATTGTGATATACTTTGTGCATAATGAATTGGTAAGGAGGACTTACAAGGGGGCTGCCAGTGGCTGTGTTTGCCTGCAGCCAATTTAATTTAATCTAAATTGTTTTTGAATTAAGTGTTCTGTTTTGTTTTAATTAATGTTTTTTAAAAGAGGGGCAGATATTATAAGATTAATCTTCTTTCTGCTCCCTTTCATTCAAAATTTGAGATTTTATGTTTGTTTGTTTTTCTTAACTTTATTGTTTTTATTTTTTGAATGAAATAAAATTGACAAATAAAAAAATATATATATATTAATTAAGACACAACAATTAATTTCTCGGGTTCATAACAGCAACGCTGATACATAATAATTATTTAAATTAAATATCGTCTGACTTATTTGTATTCAGGCGCCACACGGTCACCTTTACAGAACAGAAACATTTGAGGTCCTTTTACTTCACGTGTGCGTCTGCTGCTCTGCCATCGTGAGAGGAAACCATGCCGAAATCAAAGAGAGACAAGAAAGGTAAATTAATGTAATGTACAGACAAATTAGACGGTTAAATATATTACCGATGTGCTTGTGTGAGAAGATAAAAGTAACGTAATTGATGGACACAAGTCAACGCTATCTTCATAAAGCAGTTTTACATAATGGATGCTGTTAAAGTCGTCGCTCAGTAAAAACTTAAGACCAAATGATTGACTGATTTTCACATACTCTTTCTATCAGTTTCGTTAACGAAAACAGCCAAGAAGGGACTGGAATTAAAACAGAAACTAATCGAGGAGGTGAGTGTAATCTGCTTTATTCTATTGTGATAACTATCTAACTAAACATTTCCACTATAATCTCTGCTTGTGTGTCTTTTTAGTTACGGAAATGTGTGGACACCTACAGAAACTTGTTCATATTCTCTGTGGAAAATATGAGGAATAACAAACTGAAAGACATCAGGACAGCATGGAAACACAGCAGGTAAAAAAAAAAACATCAACCAGGGAATTTATTGGGTAATTTCTGCGACTATGTACATGTTGGTTTGTTTAATTATCATGAGGACAGCTATGCCTGTAAAAAAAAAAAAACAGTTTGGTAGTACTGTATGATTTTTAAAAATCTAATGAAGGAACATTTTGTTGAACAAGTAAGTCCTGTAAATAATTTGGAGGAAATGGTTTGACATATCTCTACATCTAACAGTCAGTAAGGGTGGAATAAAATGTCACCAACAAGGACACTGAAGGAACCAGTGTTTCAGAGTGTTGGACACATGAAAGAAAAACATTATTATTATTATTATTATTATTATTATTGTAAAATGCCTATACCAAGTCCCCTTAAGCCAAAGCTTCATCTTCAAATGGCTCATTTTGTTTAAAAATCAAACACATCTACTATCAGAAATGACTACAAAAATCAGCATAATGTTTTAATGTCAATGTTTTATTAAAACGATTCAACATAAATGATTGATCATCATAGTTCGCATTTCGTTTTCAAAGAGACTGATTGATTTTAATGTTTTGTTATTGCAATAATAGTTGGACTCTTCTGCACCACAGGTTCTTCTTTGGCAAAAATAAAGTCATGGTGATCGCCTTGGGTAAAGGAGAAACAGACGAATACAAAGATAATTTGCACAAGGTAAGAATAAATCTAGGTATGGGGGGTGGATGGAAAATGATTAAGATAAATGATGAACTATTGTTAAATTACTTGCTCTGCAGGTCACCAAATATCTACGGGGAGAAGTGGGAGTACTTTTCACAAATAAAACAAAGGATGAAGTACAAGAGTAAGTTAGCTTCACTTCCTGCACCATTTACGGTTTATCCAACAATTGTTCACTCGGTAACTGATTTGGGTTCTCTCTTTGCAGGTACTTCAGTCATTTCAAAGAGGTGGATTATGCGAGGGCGGGCAACCAGGCACAGATGGATGTAACTCTGGATGAGGGACCCCTGGAACAGTTTACTCACTCAATGGAGCCCCAGCTGAGGCAATTAGGACTCCCCACCGCACTCAAGAAAGGTAAGATGACACTACAGTTATTGTAAATGTTTCTCTTTTGCTAATAATGTAATGCAAAGAGCAAAACAAACATCCCATTTGTAAATTCCTCCATACTTCCCTGCTACTCTTAGCTCACAATCTTAATGATTTGAAGTTTTATTTGTGAACAACTTGTTTAGTTAAAGTCGTATTTTGGATCATTCAAAGGTGTTGTGACACTGCTCAAGGACCATGAAGTCTGTAAGGAGGGAGACACACTGACTCCTGAGCAGGCTCGTATTCTGGTGAGTGCTTTACTGCTTTGACTACAGAAAATGTTAACTGCAACGGATTGTAGTGCATTGCATTTTGACCAACTGTTTATTTCTTTCCGCCCATAGAAACTCTTTGGCATCGAGATGGCAGAATTCAAGGTGCAGATCAAATGTATGTGGAACTCAGAAACGGGCGAGTTTGGGAACATTGCTGGAGAAGAAGAGTCCATGGAGGATAATGAGGAAGATGATGATGCAGAATGAAACGTCTACAAGGCAGCTTGTAAATGGCAATTTTTAAGTCATCTTTGCCAACCTTCAACAGCAGAGGGACATAGAAACCATTCATCCTGACCGCCAGTGCTGACCCGGGAGTTTTAGTAATCTCCTTTTTCTGGCCATTTGATCATCCCAAAACATGAACTTCTGTCCATCTTGAATTTTAGCTTTGGATTGAATGTTTTCAGTAAAAACAGGAGCTTTGAGTCAAGAGACTTCATGATGTATTTTGTGTAATAACAAATATAGTGGAAAAAGTGCTAAACATCATGACAGTATTTTTCTTTTTGCAAAATAAGGGGGGAAACAGACCGCCTTGTAAAACCATTTTATACACGTATGTGTAGGAATAACAGTTTGATTTGTAAAAATACAATATCTTTCAATGTAAGTTTAATAAAAAAAAAACTCCAGAAGAAAGAAATCTTAATTTCTTACATTTATACATCAACAATTAAGTGATTTAGGCTTTAATTCTTATTGGTCACAGATTGATCTGTTTAATAATGTCATTGTATTTGTCAATTATTGTTTGAGTAGATTGAATTTTTTTTTTAGCGGAAGTAGTTTGGACAGTCATGGGCAACGAGATTCCAGGCCTCATTGAAGGCGGCGACAACTCGATCATCAGAGGATCCTCGTCTGCAGCAGCCAAGTTTTGCTGAAGTTGCTCCATACTTGACATGCCGATGATGACTCCATCACCAAGATCGCCCTGGAGCAGCAGAGAATCGAGTGGTCAAATACTTTAATACTTTTCAATACCACATGTTTTGAAACAATACAATATCCATTCTTTAAATGATCACTAGTACTACAAAACAAGCAAATCTTTTAAAGAACTTAAAGATCCTCAGTCATGTTTTCAACCAATAGCTGCTGCAATCAAAATAAAGAACACGTCTTAATTGCAGAAAGTAAACTGCCAGTGTACTGATGTGATATCAAAACAGATTGATATGGTTTCAAGTTTTTCTAGTAACAAGGTATGTTCAAAATTTCTGGCATTGTGACAACCTTTACCATAATGGTTAGCGGTATGCTTCTAGGTGACTTCTTGTTCATATCTAAGGTTTCATGCGTTTGCGCTGGCTTCGATCTGATGATTGACTAACAGTGCCAAGGCAATACTTATCTTGGATTATTATCTGCGTACTAATACAAAATATTGTGCTGACTTCATTTTGAACACGTTTTAATGAACTGTATGTCTTATGTTGTATAGTGTAATGCTCCTATGATAATGCCACAACAGCTCTCTTATGTACAGTTGGTACCTTCAGCTGAGAGTGGTGGTACATCCATCGCATCGCAGCAGACGTCATGGAGGGTTTATTTGAGCCGTATGCTGTCTCCAAGGCATTAAGAACCAAATCTATCGCCTGGAAATGACTCAACTTCCAGTATCTAATGGAGAAAGACAAACAAATATTTTGTGATTGATCGATGGTGAAAGGTGTAAGTTTAGCTGTGAAGAAATACTGAAACTCATGAAGGGAGTAGTATATTGCATGGAGCATTAAGAAAAAGGAATGCCTGGTCTCTCACCTGTCCCGGTATGCTTTAGCCCAGCTGTTACCAAAGAAGCGTCCAGTAGGCTGAGAGCCATCTTTGTCTTCAAAATGGTACTTTCCTGTCAGAAGGCCACCTATAGAATAGAAGTCATTTCTACATTGAAATTATCTTGTGTCCGACTAAATTCTGCAACTTTGAGTGATATATTTTCTACATTTTTTGAATAATAGAATAGAATGTCATAAAGCCTATTTCATTACAGGTTAGCTCAATGTGCTTTACATTGATAATGAAAACAAGGGAATTCAAGAAACTGTTATTTCAACAATCATGAAGATACATAAATTATTATTTTTTAAATTGAATGCACATCACAGACACCACATAACAATCAAACACCAAAAAAGAGCATTCAACAAAACCCTAGAAAAACACAAAGTGTAACTATTTGTATGCTTGGGAGAAATTATTTTGAGTTTAGCTTTAAAAGTAGAGACAGTCGTGATGGAACTACGGTAAGCAGGAAGTTTGTTCCAAGAACCACAGTAACTTAAGGCCCCTTCTCCAGACTTTGATCTAATTCTTGGCACAACTTACAGATCTTTACTGGATGACCTGAGGGCCCTGGTAGGGTTGAAGTCTTTGAGCAAGTCAGAAATTGACTTGGGAGCTGAACCATTAAGTTCTTTATGGACTAATAATAAGATTTCAAAGGTGATTTTGTGTTTTTTACGGGGAGCCAATGGAGTGTTTTGAGGATGGGAGTTAAATGTTCAAATTGTTTTGTGCGTGTTAGGACTCTGGCTAAGTTGAAGTTTTCTCACAGATTGTTTGGATAGCCCTATGGAAAGATCATGAGATGACAGGGAAATGTACAACTGTGTGTCATCAGCATATAAATGGTAGGCTATATTATGTTTCTTCATGATAGCACTAAATGGGAGCATATACAGATTAAATAGCAGAGGCCCAAGGACTGACCCTTGTGGAACCCCAAAGAGGACCTTTCTTTCTTTAGATTTAAAATTGCCAAGAGAAATGTGAATCTCTAATTCTCTAGGATATGATAATTCCATTAAAATCAGTTACAGTTTTCAATAAGAAATCAGCAAGTTCTTCCAAGAAGCCTTGTCTAATGTTAAGAGGATGATGACAGTAAGAATGAGTGCAGCACTGAACAGATCATTTAGAACAAGACCTAAATATTTAAAACTAATGTAGTTGCCAAGATGGAACGATTCACAGATTAAAAAAATATATATCTTTAAACAGGGCTACAACCTAACCTGCCCCTCCTGCTGATTCGAGAGTAGTGCACAAATTTGTAGTTATCAGGTGATGTCTCAATGAGCTCCTTGTTGCCAGTTTGATCAAGCCATGTCTCAGTTAGAAGAATAAAGCCCAGTTTCCGAGTAGAAATTATGTCGTTTACAATAAAAGTCTTTCTTGAAAGGGATCCAACAGTCAACTGTGCAAGTTTTAGAGTGCATGGGGGAGTTTTTGCAGTGAGAGACAAACCTTTAAAGTCCAAACCAGACTGTGGGTTAACAGTCATGGCTATGAGGCTGATTTAAAGCTGGGATTGCACAATAGTAAACAATAATGTTAGTATGCTAACAAGCCAGTGCTAAAAAGGGGTTACATTTACCATCATCATTTAGTTAGCATGCTTACATCTTCTATTAGCACTTAACACTAAGTTAATTTGAGGATGATAGGAATCTATTTCAAAGAATTAAGTTGTAAAAAAAACATGATTGACCTGTTGCTGGCACTGAAGTAGAGTTCAATCAATGTGATTATTTATCTTAAAAAGAACATGGATGCTTTGACCAAGTTAATAAAAATACATCTAACAGTTATTGAGACATGTTACTCAAAACCTCAGACTCAAATGTAAACCTCATGGTGGTATAGGTACACCAGGAGAGGGAAAGTATACTGTACCTGCAAGGGATTGTATGCGTAAAACTTAATTCCGTAGTTTCTCAGACATGGCAGCAACTCCGTCTCAACCTGTCTTGTTGTGGCATTGTACATTCCCTGAGAAAAGATGTACGAGTTTGAATTAGGGCATAAGAAAGGTTAAGCGATCACATCTAAGTGAAAGTAAAATAAACAATGAAAGTTTTTTTTCCCCCAATAACAATTAAAGTTGGAGAAAATCTTGGGATATTCTACATTATAAAAACAAGTGTCCAGGGTTTATGTTAACTGTTAATTACCAGCTTGTATTTAGTATCACATGCAGATGTCTGGCAAAAAAAGTATATATAAACGGCCAAAATGTCCGGCTATACAATATGAATACAATATTTGTTGAGTGTTTTCCTCATTTTGTATATATAACATCACAATAAGATCACAATTCCAAATGTAAGGCCACACTAATCTAAAGTATAGTCTCCCCTTGCTCACGTATGGGTTTTTGCATTTTATTGCTGTTTAATGTTGGTTATTAGGCATATATGCCTATTCAAAGCATACAGTGGTTGATCTGTAAGGCCAGAATTCTGCGGCGGTAAAAATAAAGTCTAGTGTTAACTCAGCATGTGTCACCATAGGTGCTTTCCTTGCTGAAAACTACCTCTATCCTGGGTCACCTGTTGAATAAAACATTTAAAAAGTTAAAAATAAATACCTGATACACAGTGGGAACAATCCAGTTGTTGTGTCTGCAGATGCACACGATTTCAGCAACTTCCCATGATGCATAGTTTGAAAGACCAAACTCTTTGAATTTTCCCTGTAGGGGGGTGTTTTAATGTTTAAAAGTTTAGTTATTTGAAATAAGCAGATAGTGTCTTAACATTATAGGTTCAATAGGTATCTATTCTCTTTACCTCTTTGTGGAGTTCATTGCAGGCTCTAAGAGTGTCCTCAATTGGGTTTTGGTGGTCAGGGGCATGGAGGTAGAAAAGATCCACACAGTCAGTCTGCAGCCTCTGAAGGGAGGTTTCAATCTGGGAGCGTACACTCTCTGGCTTCAGTGTCTTTCCATCCCAGGGGTTAGCCTTGGTAGCTATACTTACTGTCGCATCAAGTTATACAGAACTGAATTATTCTTTTTTTCATAAACATGGAAGATACTATTTGACTTTCTACAAATGATCAAAACATGACAGAAACATTCAGAAACATTCAGATATTCTACCAGCTTGCTCTACACCATTGATCAACACATTTTCTGATTTAAAAGCAAAGTTGAACTTGCATGTCATCTAAATGAAAGACTGGTGGACTGATAATATGGGATCTATATGATAAAAACTTTTATTTAAAAAAAAAAAAAGAAGTTCACCAGTTCATACAGACTACCTGCTGGACTTTTTTGTTATTGATTTGGTGATTTTTAACTTTTTCTCCTTCTTCTATAAACTTGGAAATAGACATTCTTCTTACTTGTAATTTGTATTTGGATGATTCAATATTGTGTGTCGGCTACTCTCTAAATGTAATCTTGACGTGGCAAGGAACTGTAGACAAAAAAATGGCTAACTAAATTTACATCATAAAGTAACATCATTTATTTTGAAATTGTGCATTGGACCCTAACAAATGGAAAAGGAGTAGACGTCACGATTACGTCATCAGTCTCTGGCGACAGACACAGCAAAATAAAGGGGAGAGAAACCCTTCAGGTGTCTTACGTTTCTAGAATGCATGTCTTTAAACGTACATTTGTGGAGTAGAAATCATAACTCCAAGCTGTTGCCAGCTGCAGGTTGGGCCTACGTTGTCATGAGCAAAAGTTC